GACTAGAAAAAGATGTGTGAAGAGAGCAATGTCCCTCCTCCAAGCACATGTGGTGTTAAGGTAAAGCATACCGTTTAACGAGTGGACTCCTGGTTAGATTTTGACCCCTTCCACCTCCTTGGCAGAGCATCTTTGTGCGGTGCACAGATTGCACAGCCACAAGTAGCACCCTTTACACCGTGGAGGACATCATCAAGGACTTAAGGACCTGAGTTTCAGGATTGAAAAGGCTCAGTGAGTGCTGCTATCAATGGATGAAAACAGACCCTTATCAAAGTACACCATTATGAAATTTAACAATCTTGGGGGTAAAGATTCTGCAGCTTCTGGAAAGACAAAACAAAAAAGAAAAGCATCACATGCTCAGAATCATATCTCGGAAAGGATTCAGATTTCCCAACATCAACCTTGGAAGTTTCCAAGTTGGGAAGTTTTGGTGACCATGGAGTCATTTCCTCAAGAAGTTAAACGTAGAGTTTGCATATGACCCAGCATCCCACCCCTAGCTACATACTCACCAGAATTACAAACATATGCTCACACAAACACTTGTAAACAAATGTTCATAGCAGCAGTATTTACTATAGTCCAAAAGTAGAAACAACCCATATGTCCATCAATTGATAAATACATAAATATAATGGGTATATCCATATAATAGAATATTGTTTGGCTATAGAAAAGGAATGAAGTATTAATGCATGCTAGGCATATGTGAAACTTGAAACATTATGCAAAGTGAAAGAAGCCAGATACAAAGCCCATGTATTACATGATTCCATTTATATGAAATGTCCAGAATAGACAAATCAATGAAGAGAGAAAGTAGATTACTGGTTGCCAAGGGCTGGGGAGGAGATGGGCATGGGAGAGTGACAGCTAACATGTATTGGGTTTCTTCTGGAGTGATGAAAGTGTTCTAAAATTAGACAGTGTTGACAGCTGCACAACCTGATGAATATACTAAACCCACTGAATGGTACACTTTAAAATGATAAAATTTGTGGTATTTGAATTATATCTCAATTTTTGAAAGAATATATGGGGGGCAATGTCTTCAAAATGATATCACCTGGCAAGCTTTCAGACATGAAAGGTCTCAAAAAATTTACCATTCATGCACTCTTACTCAGAAAACTGCTGGACATACGCTGCCTCAAAATACAGGAGTAAACCAAGAAAGAATGAACCAAGAGAATGGCAAAGTAAATTCCTATGATAGCAATGCCTTGGGAAGGCAAGCATACTGAACAATCTCAATTTAAAGGTGATGCAGCTGCCTGGAAATCCACCAGAATATAAAATACCTCTTTCTAGAAATACAAATAAAAAACACAGTGAGATATTGTAGCACTCTTGTTAGAATGACTATGATAAAAAAAAAAGAAAAGAAACAACAAGTATTGGCGAGGATGTGAAGAAAGTAGAACCCACATTGTTGGTGGGAATGCAAATTGACACAGTCACTTTGGAAGACAGTGTGGAGGTTCCTCAGAACATCAGAAATAGAATTCCCAGGTGACCCAGCAATGCCACTCTTGGGTATATAATGGAAGGAAATGAAGTCACTATCTTGACGTGATATCTGCACCTCCTTGTGCACTGAAGCATTACTATAGTCAAGACATGTAAACAACCTAAGTATCCAACAACAGATGAATAGATAAAGAAAAGGCGGTATGCGAAATGGAATACTATTCATCTGTAAAAAAGAAGAAAATCCTGCAAAGTGAAATTTGTTTGCTACAACATGCATAATCCTTGAAGGCATTGCACTAAGTGAAATGAGTCAGAAAGAAAAAATGCATACTGCATGATCTCACTTATATGTGGGATGTTTTTTTAAAAAACAAAACAAAACTGAATTCATAGAAACAAAGAATAGACTGCTGGTCACCAGAGTTGAGGGTTGGGGGATGGGAGAAATGAGTGAAGGTGGTCAAAAGGTACAAACTTCCAGTTGTAACCAATAAATTCTGGGTGTGTGATGCAAACTTTTGTGACTACAGTTAATACTTTTTGGATATTTGAAAGTCGCTAAAACAACAGTAAGTCTTAAAAGTTCTCATCACAAGAAAAAATTGTAACTGTGTGGTGATGGGTGTTAATTAAACCTATTGTGGTGATCATTTTATAATGTATACATATATCAAATTATGTGGCATACCTTAAACTAATAGAATGTTATACATCACTATCTTAATAAAAATAAAGTGCATCTTTTCTGAACATTAAAAAACGATTCGTTTCTAAAGCTAGGATGAAGTGGGGAAGGAGTTGGCAGCAGAAGTCCTAAGAAAGTGTGGGCACGCCATCAGCCCTAATTCTATCTTCTTGGGAAAACCGTAAGTTTGGGAGGCTTGGCTGGTTAGGAGCTGTGCTAACTGTCCCTCCCCATCCTGAGCAGAACCTACAGATATCATTGGTAGCATTTCATGCTGAGTGGGGTCATTGAGTAGGTGCCTTACTTAACGCTGCTAGGAAGTGCAGACAAACTTGAAGTAACACATGGGGATTCCAGAAGACTTCTCTCTTGCACAAACAGAAAGGTGTACCAAAGATTTCACCTCCCTTTCCCCAAATGAGAAGCTTAGAATTTCCTGATACAATTGCCTCTGAAGGAGAGGGGGTTGGTGTCTGGGTGGTTGACAAACTGTCTTGACTGCTGCAGAGACCGTGATAATGCCCAGGGCTGGGTTTTGGTGGTGGGGTAGTCTAGGGAATGTTGGTTTATGGCTGAATACAGAGCTGGTTACTGCAGTTTGTATTCCTGCCACCTGAGGACACTGTTGGAAAAGAGAAAGTGGTAGGAGCATTGGTGATGAAGGGTGCCCAGGAATTAGCACAGATTGAAGGTGACAGCAAGCCAAGCAAACAGAAATTAGCCTGTTTTCTGACACAAAAAGGCTGTCTGTGACAAGGAGGTAGTTCTGATAAGTAAATCGGAGGTGGAGCCTGAAGAGATTCTCTTGGAACATTGGTACAATTCCACAGAAATTGCCTTTGTCTGGGGATAGGCTTACTAAAGGCTGAGAGCCAACTCCCGAGTACCCCTGCAAGGCAGGGAGTGGAGGGGCCTGCTCCTCACCCCCCATCCCATCTGAGAGGGGACTGGATTGGACAGTGGTGGGTGCCTGAGTCCTCACCCAAGAAGAGGAGCATTAGTTTGAGAGGACACAAGTGGCCCTGGCAGCAGGGTTGGGATCTAGGCCAGAGGCTGGCAGGTTGGGTGGGGACCAAGAAGGGTAAGGGCTTGAGGAGAATATCAGTTTGACAAACCGGTCACACATGGAGAACAGGGGGTACTGGGTCTCACGATGGGGACTAAATCTACTCCAAAGGGAAGAGCAGCAATGAGGCACTGACACAGAAAACCTTTCTTCTGCATTTTTAAGTCCCCAGTGAACAGTGAACAAGTCTAGACCTCATTTATGAAAGTATACAATAAATAAGTTTTCACTTTTATTGCTGCTATTATTGTTTCCTGTGAATCACTTCCTTAGATGAAGTGATACCTGTAACTCCTATGAATCCGGAGGTTACAGAGAATCAGCCCAGAGCCATGAGGCTACAGTAGAAGCCATTCCTAATAAAAACTCTAATCTTTACTCACTCACATGGCTTATAGTCCCCATTAATTCGTGTTAACTTTTATTTGAATCTTGTGTTCTGTCTTATTTTCTGGCATGCCCAAACTTCTGGGAGTATCTTGCCTTCCTAGGCCAGAGACCCCTTTCTCATCCATGCACCTGGCTCACTGCTTTGTGCTTCCCTGTTCTACATGCTTCCGCTGCCACCAACCCTGAGAGGTGTGGTCGTCTTCCTCCAGGTTGCCTTTTCCTCTCTCTTGCCCTAGGAGTCCCTCTGGTTCCGAGCCTCTTGGCCTAATACAGGTATCACAGAAGTCCAGAAACCCTTCTGATTCGATCCACAGTGTCCACAGGGAGCAGGTGAGGGCAAGGGAGAGGAGGGGGATGGTTTAGTGAGCAATTTCTGTTGAGCCATGTTCCCAATTAATGATTAGTTCTTGTGAGTAACAGAAAGGAACACACTTTAATTCTTTACTGTTCCATTCATGTAAATGACCTGAGGTGTCTGGCGGGATAAGGTGTACCCATAGAGGAAAGTGTGCTTGTATATGTACAGGAGTAGGCAGGAGTACGTTTACAGTTAGTTGTTCATGTGGAAAATGCAATGATTAATAAGTAAACAATATTATAAGAATAAACTCTTTGCTAGCCCTGGCTGGTGTAGCTCAGTGGATTGAGCACGGGCCTGCGAACCACACGATCTCGGTTTGATTTCCAGTCAGGGCACATGCTTGGGTTGCAGGCCGGTTTCCTACAGGCCAGTTCCCAGCAGGGGACGCATGAAAGGAAACCATACATTGATGTTTCTCTCCCTCTCTCCTTCCCCCCTTCCCCTCTAAAGATAAATAAATAAAATCTTTAAAAAAAAAGAATAAACTCTTTGCTTTTGTGCACTCACAACTGTAAACCACCTTTTGCCCACCTTTGTGTGTTTGTTGTCATCTGTGGCCCAAGAGCTCATTACCTTCTCCAGCCTGGTAGCCTCATTGCTCTTGATCCCTGCCCACTCTCCTCCCAAAAGTCTGCTCTACAAATCTGTAAGGACTCGTGATCTGTTCTTTTCTTTAATTCTTCATTGAAACCAAAGATAATAGCAACCTTTTGGCTAAATGTATTCGTTTCCTATCCTCACTACAGCCACTATTCACTTTTGGTTTTGAATGAGTAATGCACGTGTAGTCAGTGAGTGAGAGACAGACGTGCTTCTGAACTCTCACACGCGGGGCACAGGTGGCCACTCCGGAGAAGGCGGTAGATGAGAGACAGTGTCCCTCCTTTCAGACAACTATAATCAGAACCATTTTCCCCCAAAATTGAATTTGCAAGCTATTTGTTTTGTTCAAATAGCTCTTGCAACTGTGTTTTACTATTGTTGGTATGATTTAGAGCATAATTAAAGTCAAAATTTACCTTTGATGTATTCAGCAATGAGCTTTGAATTAACTTTCACATCCTTAGCAGTTGGATCGAAGGTACAAATTTTCTCAACTAAGTACCTGTTAATGTGCTGTGAACCAAGAACGAAAGTTATGGGATCACTAGTGAGTGGAACTAGACTACACAATTCACCGGTTTATATAATTTCACTTATATACATTTGAAAGCAGCAAAATCAATCTATGGTGTTAGAATCAGGTGTCTGGTCACTCTTGGGGTGAGTGTGTGTGTTTGAGGGAGTGATGGGAGGTGGTACCCATGAGGGCTTTGGGATGCCACTAAGAATCTGTTTCTTGATCTAGGTGCTGGTTACAAATGTTCATTGTGTAAAAAATTCTCGTACTGGTACACTTATGATATGTGCAACTATTATCTGCGTACCTAAACTTGTGTGGGTTGTTTTTCAATAAAAGGAATACATAACAAAAACTCACCAATTTACATTTATCCCAGTTTCCTAAGTCGCTTGAAAATTCCAGCTCTGGATCAACGAACAAGATAGCCCCTGTCAGGATGTCATGTATTAGTTTGATGTTGGCTTCTACCTCCTGGGACTGGCTGTCGGACAGAGATTCCGGCTCTGCTAGAGGATTATAATCATAGAGCAGCAGGGATATGAAGTGCGTGGAGGCAAGCATCCGCAGGCTTTCCTGCAGCTCTTGCAGCATGATTCGGAAAAAGAGGACTCCTGCCCGCTGGACTTCGCCTGCATTTTCAATCTCTGGAAGAACAGAGTGGCATCCCACGTGGTTGTTCAGTACGTACATTACTTTTTCATAGGATTCTGAGCATAATATAGTAACCTTTTTTTCCCAGGAAAAAGATAATGTCTTACGATTTTAAACAATTTTAGTTTTTCTAGGCATGAAATCAAAAGACAGAAATGAAATTACACCTGGTGAAACTCACAGGATGAGGTCTCAGGAAAGGTACAAACTCATGTTTTGGAGTTAGACCTTCGTTTGAATAACTACTCTCCCTGTTATTTGTTCTGCAGTCCCTGGACCTCTTCTTCCTCATCGGTGAGAATGGGACTGATTTCTACTTCCTTGGTGAGTTGTGGGCATTAAATGAGATGATATGTGTAAAAATGCTTAGTTTGGGCCTTATACATAGTGAACACAAAAAAGACATAAATTTTATTCTTTTTTTTTCCTTCTTATTCCTCCCTACCCTATGTAATGGCTAGAAAACTTTCAGCTTACACATGTATTACTCTTCTAATTCCATCCACTGTCTTCTAGGTAGCCAAAGTTTTCCATGCCGCCTTCTTCCACCCCTTCTGCCTAAATTAGTTTTGTGCTAAGAGGAGCCTAATGGATATAGAATCACAAGGATTGAGGTCTGGTCTTGGCTTTGCCCCTAGCTTGCTATTGGTCCTTTACTTCAATGGGCTTTTGCTTCTTTATCTGTAAAATGAGATGTTCTGATAAGTTAATTTTATGTAATAGAGTGGAAAGAGCACCCAAACTGGAGTTCAAATCCAGCCTCCACCAATTATTAATTGAGTGATTTGGTGCAAGTTAGTTTGTTTCTCTAAACTTCACTTTTCTCACTTATAGTGTAAAATGGTGCATCACCATCACCACATAGAGTTGTGGTAAGGACTAATTGAAATAGCATATTTAAAATGCTTGGTATCTGATGAGGCATTTAATAAATGCTACTTCTACATTATCTTTAAGACTCCTTCCAGTTCTAAGACTGGACATGTGATTGTAGCCAAAAAAAGTGTGATTCCTTACCCTTTACTCTGATTTATACACCACCCTCATTAGTCCAAGACTATATAAGGGAATTTCTTTCATGTGGAAAATCCTTATATTGCAACAACTCATTTTAGAAAACACATCATTTGTTGCATTGTCTGTGATTTTCCCAAAATTTATTAAACCCATAAATCCAGACTGTCACCACATTCACAATACCTAAGACAAGATTTTTCTTTATTTCTCCTGATAATTCGCCCAGTATTTCATAGCAGGCAGCTTGGATCACTTTCATCATCTTCTGTAGATCTTTAAATTCTCGATATAACAACATCTTACTCCTGCCAATGTTAAAATCAAGAGCTCCCATAGCCTCTCCTGTTCTCTCACGAAGTGGAACAACTATGTGGTTTTCTCCATGGACAGAGGCCAAAACAACTTCTGAACTGTCTATACACCTAAAGAGGAAATCTCTGAAACCAGAACCAAATAAGCATAAGCATATAAAACATCAGTCTGCTCGTAACATTCCACCCAAACCTAACTCTCTTTTGTGCCCCCTACACTCGCACCCACCAGCACTTGTTGCTGTTTCGTCTGCTTGGACCACTCCACGCCTTTATCTCACAGAGCTCTCTCCCTCAGCTCACTCACGCATCTCTTAGAGCAGGCTTCCCGACTACACAATCTAAAGCAGCCGCACCTCAGTCATGCTGCATCATGATACCCTGCTTTATTTTCTTTACTTTATTTATCTGATAGATATTATTTTTGTTTGTTGGTTTACTTGTTGTCCAGTAAGTGCTGGTGGAATGCCTGAAGGAACAATGAGTGTGTCAGGTTCTCTAGAAGCACAGCCTGAGCCAGGGAAATGATTTATTGAGGGAGTGCCCTCAGGAGAAACTTGTGGGGGTCTGAGGAAAGCAGGAGAAGGAAGGGGGGAAAAGCCATGTAAGAAAGTGTTCTCAGGTAAAGTCTAAACTCAAGCTTGATCCCAAAGGGAGTTCTCAGAGGCAAATTGTGTTGAAATCTGCCTCATCTTGATGCAAGAATAGGGGTTTTGTCAGTGTTTGACTCCAAGTTGCTCTGGGTGTGTGAGGAGGGTACATAACTCTGAGACACCTCCATCTCTCAGGGGCTCTCCTCCAGAGAAAACTCGCAAAAGATACATAGGGGATCCCAGCTGGGCATCAACAGCACCTGCTTGTGAGGGAACTGAGGTTTTCACATAAATGGAGCAGCTACTTCTTTCTCTAGTGAAGTATAGACATATCTCTTTTCCTCTTCTCCCATCTATATTAATACTGAGATGTCATTCCTTTGAGGTATTTGTAAAAATGTTGGTGATTTGCACAGTCTCAAAAAGGATACTTATAGTTCATGATATCTACTCTATAATGACAACTAAGACTGTATCTTTCTTTTGCTACTCCTATCACTTTGTGTCTTTATGATAACCGTACTAATGATGCATCATGTTATAACTTCCAGGCATGACGATAAAGCTGATTGGTCAACAGAGTTCCTCAAAAGGCACCTACTCTAAGTTACAGGGGTCGAAGTTTATGAGTCTGGGTATGACAAAGACTTCTGTGAAACTCTTTAACACTGCAAGGAATAATTAACATGGAAAAGAGCTTAAAACTGAATGAAAATTCTGGTGTGAGGCTATACTAAAATTTAATTAAATATGTACTTAAACATCAATTCAGTCTTTAGTCTGTGATAGGTTATTGGCTCCTCAGCTACACCGACACCTTCAGACGCAGTTGGCCCCTTTTACAGTAGGTGTGTTCTCAGTTAAGCTCTGTCTTGCATCTGCTCCTTACAGATGCAAAACAGATTCATAAACTTCGACCCCTGTAACTTAGAGTAGGTACCTTTTGAGGAACTCTGTTGACCAATCAGCTTTATCATCATGCCTGGAAATTATAACATGATGCATCATTAGTATGGTTATCATAAAGACACAAAGTGGTAGGAGTAGCAAAAGAAAGATGAGAGGCATTTGAAGGAACCTAGAACTTATTAAATACAACATCCTCTGATTCTTCTCCACTTTTGTCTAGTCTACCTTCTTTAAATAAACTTGTTCATATGCTAGCTAATATTAAGATGAGGACCTTTGATAAGCGTTGTGGATGTATTTGTTATAATCATGGTGGGTTTTGTCGAATTCCTTATTTATAAAAAATCATAGAAAATAAAACACTATCATGCGTAAAAACATGGAATTTAATATAAAATACCAATGAAAAAATATTTTTTACTTTGTTTGAAACAAACCCACATGCTATAGAGCAGACACAATAACTGTGAGGCCAATGAAAAAAATTTTAAATTTGTTATTAAGAAAGGACTTGATATGACCCATGCAGTCAAGAGATTTTCTCTAAAACCCAATCAGAATAAGAGACAAAAGCTGTGTCTTCAGATCTGTCACACCAGGGTGCATGCTCCAGCAATCAAACCAAACGGACAAGAAGATGCCTCTCATACCTGAAGATGCATGTCTTCCTGAAGATGGTAGGGGGATTTCTGTGGATTTCTGTTAGACCCAGGGGCCCCGTGACCATCATATTGCGTAAAACATAGTCTGAACCCTTGAAAAAGAGGAAGCGATTTCATTATGGAAAAGAATAATTAGACCTCATATTCTCATTAAAGCTTTTGGGGACAAATGAATAAGAAAAATTAGAAAAGCTTAGATGACCCCTAGTTTTAAGTACTGGGACATTTTACTTATTCAGTATCACTAAGGAATGAAGTGTATAACAGGAGAAAATTTTCACAATATGAGATTGGTTAAATGCAAAAATGTATTTTTTATAATTGTGATAAAATGCTGGGTTTATGTTATTTTTCAGAAGCTACAAGTGCATTGTAGAACATTTGGAAAATACAAAAAGTCCTCTCCCCCCAAAATAAGTACAATACAAATATTCTCCAGTGAGGTCACTTCATCACAACTGTTCTTGCCAAGTCACTAGTCAGTGACTCTCTCAATGTCAGATCCCTAATCCTTATCTTCTTCTATTTCTTGCAATGAATAACTCTCTTCTTTATATACTTTCTTGGCTTGGTTTTCGGAACCCCACTCACTCCCAGTTTTCCTCCTGCCTCACATAGCACTCCTCTCATTCTCCTTGCTTTCTCTTCTTTGTCTCTCTTACCTCTAAGAGAGTTTCAATCTATAGGTCATAACCTACACATGGGTTCTAAGAATATTTTGATGTTTCCTTTAACAGCCTTATTGAGGTATACTGGATATACAAAGATGTGCATATTCAGTGTCTACAGTTTGATGAGTTTGGACTCATGAGTTTTGGTCAACTTTTTTTTTTTTGGTAGAGACTAGTTTATAATATTAACATGTTCTATAAAATACACTAGACTTTAGGAGTGACAAATTCAACTGGGAGAAGCAAAGAGTGGCCTTTTATGCCCTCAAAATAATTTTTAAAAAATTATTTGGTTAAGAGGATAACTGTGATAACAGGATCCACAGGGGCTACGTGCTGGGTGCTGCTTGGAAGAACAATTGCTTCTCTTGCCTCTCTACACTCCGTGACCGCAAATGTTCTACCAAACTCTTGGGATAAAATGTTTTCAACAGAATACTTAGCGAACTGTAAAGATTATCCCACATTGGCAACTGAACCTCTAGTTTTTTTTCTAATTTATTTCTTCCATGGTTTGTTATTTGGTGTTACACATACTAGACTGATATGCTTTTTTAAGAATCTTTCTGTGATTGTGTTTTTAAGTTTAAATCTTTAGCTAAAACCAAACAACTTCTCTCTTGTCCACCCCCAAACCCCATAGTATAAATAACCTCTTCTGCTGTTAGACCAGAAGCATAATATAAAAAATAAAGGGCTTAGAATAGTATGCCTGAGAAAAAGCTCCTCTTTCATTTATTTTTATTTAGACTAAGAAACTATAAATTCAGCAAGTGCCTCAGCAATTATTCAGTGGTGAGATAATTGTTGCTAGATAAAATATCCTAGGAAATCATTCAGAGAAAGAGCTACAATTGTTTTCTCCCCCATTTTTCTTCTTCTGCTACTGGCTTGTTATTTTTTTCCTTTACGTTTGTAACATTTAATCATTCTTAACTTTCTCATCACATATTATTTATCTTTAGTTCTTAACATCTTATGCTTTTTTCTCTTTTGACAAGATTTTTTAAAAAAAGAATTAAATAACATATAATTCTACAATTTCTAATATAAATTAAATAACAGATAATTCTATAATTTCTAATAGAAAGTATTAGAAAACATTACTGTCGTTTACTAAAAGTAGGTATTATTTTTGGAAACTTCTGTTTTAGTTGTGTGTATGTGTGTTTGTAAGGGGTAAGGATATCAAATGTTTTTACACTATGGTCAAGGTCAAGAGAATTTTGTGCCACTATGATTTCAAACACTTAAAGTACCTCAGGGCTAGGTCCTGACATTTTATTATTAATTTTTTTTCTATCTTCATTCATTGCTTTGGTCACTTCATCCAGTCTCATGGCTTTTGTTTTGTTTTTTATTATTTTGGTAAAATACACATAGTATAATATTATCATTTTAACCATTCATAAGTGCACAATTCAGTAGTATTAAATATATTCACAGTGTTGTATAATCTAGTCTCATGATTTTAAATAACATTTAAAATCTAGGTTAGCTACCCTAGGTTTCTCTGGAAACACTAAGCTCATATACCCAACTGCCTATGTAGTATCTCCACTTAGATGTCTAACTGACATTTCAAATTGTAGTTCCAAAAATCTTTTTCTGCCCTGGCTGGTATAGCTCAGTGGATTGAGTGCGGGCCTGCAAACCAGATGATCACAGTTCAATTCCCAGTCAGGGCACATGCCTGGGTTGCAGGCCAGTTCCCAGCAGGGGAAGCATGAGAGGCAACCATACATTGATATTTCTCTCCCTCTCTCCTTCCCTTCCCCTCTAAAGATAAATAAATAAAATCTTTTTTAAAAAAGCTTTTTCCATTTAGTAGATAAAAGTTATCTTTTACTAACTTTATATTTATTTCATTATGAGAACAGCTGAACATTTTTTCATATGTTTATTGACCATTTGCATGAGTTTTTCTTATAGACTTGTCTTTATTTTTCTTTTGGGTTTTTAAAAAATCTCATGGATTTGCATACAACAATGTTAGCCCTTAGTCAGATATGTGACAATTTCTCCCCAGTTTTTCAAAAGCAATTTATATTTTCTACAACTTTGGTACAAGAAAGTTTTACATTTTTATGGAGTCAGTGTATCAACCTCACCTTCACTGTTTTAACCTTGCATGTAGGTTTAGCCATCCTTTCCCCAGACCAAGGCTATAAAGTCCCTGTCATCCTCAGGGATGTGTTAACAGTTATTCTCATGTATTTGTTCTTCCTCCAGATGAAGAGATAAATCATTTGTTCAATTTTAAAAATTATTTAAGGATTTTTCTTGGAATTTTGTTAAATTTATAAATAATTTTTGGGAGAAATTGTAGTTTTAAAAAATAGCCTTGTGAAAAAATTATGATATGACCTAATTTATAAAGCAATTTTGTGTCCTTTGGTAAAGTTTATAGTTTGCTTCATATAAGACCTCAGAGTGATGGGTCAAAGTGGGGGGAGTGTTCCAGACAAAGTGAGAGCATTTTTGAAGCCCTTGAGGTAGAAAAAAATTTTTTCTATCATATATGATAGGATGTGAAATATTAATTGTGGTGTGGTATTTTTCCTCCTGCCCTCCTTCTTCTGCCCATTTAAGCAGTCCATATTGCCTTAGAAAAGAAATGTGATGAGGTAAAAAGCAGAAAGCACTGGCTAATCTCTAGCTTTTGTTTTTCAAAAGCTTACATTGATATGACTTAAAATAGCAAACCAGGTACAAGTGTTAGTCACCAAAGACCTCAGGGAAATAAAGGACTGAGCTCTTGGTTTCCTTGCTGGCTGTCAGCTGGGAGCTGCTACCCTTGGCTCTTAGAGACCGTGGGTCTTTGTGCATAGCCCTACACATCTCAGAATCAGCAAAGGGGTGTGTAATTTTTCTCCTACTGTCATCTCCCTGACTCTTCTCCCATCCTTTCATCTTTCAGGGACCACAGCCAGAAAAGATTCTCTGCTTTTAAGAGACCACTGATATGTCTACTTTTTGAGGCACAGAGCAGGCTGGAGAAGAGGATAGATCTGGAGGGGCTGAAAAAGAGGAAGAAAGAGGCTAAGAAAATTACCATAGTTGAGTGCTTGAAAAAAGATATCCCTTTTTATATAGCTACCCTCATCCATTTTTAACACCAAAACCTTACCATAGTGCTTTCACCTAGGACAAACCCTTGTGTTTCTCCTTAGATAGCTAGCTGTACTGGTCTCAGCTTGGCTATGACCCCACCCAGACCCTGCTGCTGAGTGGTCCTCCTCTCCAGCCCTTTGGGATGGTCTTCACTTCCATAAGATGGCCTGGGTTAAATGGACAGTGACCTTTGTGGCCTTGTCTGCAGCACTGCCCTTGAAGCCATGCTTCTTGCTGACTGCTATGGGCAATTTTAACCTTTTCCATAGTGCCCCAGGTGTCATTTCCATTAAGGCCCCAATGAGGTGCTTAAGCACAGTGAGACACGGGCCAAGTAGAATTCTCCTTGAACCCCACACATTTCAGCTGCATTGTGGCTGTGGCCTATCAGACTGGGTGGTCTCCCTCCACACTAAGTGATCCTTACGCTTGGCTCCCCACCACACATACATACCGGGTGATCCATCCAATTCCAAGGGTACTTGGAGACTCCCATCCCTTCCCAACCCTAGACTCAGCACTTGTAACTAGCAAAAACTCATCACATTATAGATAGAGGGTCTTTTTAAAAAATGGTGTGACGTAATTGTTCTTCCAAAACAGTAGTGCCTTATCCCTTCCCACTTCACCCATATGATTCTGGTGGGGGCTTCCAGTTACTGTAACTCCCCATCCTGGCCAGGACGGCATATCTCAGCATATTGGAATGAGTTTTCTTTCTTGAGTTTTCCCAATTGTAACAGGAAGGAAAGATTCTTTTTCTAGCTACTAAGCAACTGGTTTGTCCTGTGGAGAAAGCCCATCTTTAGCTAGAAGTACAAAGTCAAAGTGCAGAGGGAAGCAGCCATGAGAACTGGGGAGAGAAAAGGACAAGAGAGAGCCTTATTGGCATTGAATCCCTGGATCTGGTCATCCTGGAAGCCAGCTCAATACCTGCCCTTTCTTCATGTTTGGTCACATGAGTCAATCAATTCCCCCTTTTGCCTAGGCACTGTGAGATGGATTTCTGCCACTCATAACCAAGATTCTTGAGTTGGAGTCATGGGAAACATGTCCCCAGTTAGGCCTAATAGCTAACTAAATATGGTTTTAGAATATCAGCAAGGCAATAATATCTAGAAACTCTATTACCTTGGGAAGGTCTAACACTGCCCAGCCTTGCCTACCTGCTCTGGGCTAGGCTCAGTGAAGTATGTAGTGACAGAGGTAATGCTAGATGTGATGTCGTAGAGCCAACTGATACCAGTGATCACAACATGCAGGATGTGCTCCCGGCTATGGACGTAGTGATAGGCAGTACTAAAGACATTGGCAACACCCTGTAGAGACATAAAATTTTAGTTGGCTTTTTTTTTTTAGAAAAAAAAGCAAAAAAATTAGTAATGCATCAATTAGATTATCTTTCTACTTGCTCTACTAGGAAGTAGAATAACATTCTACTTCCTACAAATTATTCACCAGTTCTCAAAAGACAATGCTCTAGCTTCTACTACGAAAAAAAAAAAGAATTATAAAGAGATCAAAGGTGTGAGAAGAGATCCACCCTAAGGTCCACATAACTTATTACATTTCCTGATAATTATCCAGTGAGATGTGTGATATGTACTATCAGAAAATAGTGCCAAAAGAACAAAGTAAACTTTGAGATGAGAAAAAAATGCTTAATAGCCAAGAATGAATATCAGCCTTGGGCAGATGGGTAGGACCTGTCCTGATCTGATGCAATTGCAATGTCTGCATCCTTACATGGCTGCTGTCACCAGATCAGCAGCACAGGATGTGCTGAGTCCCAAAGCCTGCAACATGCTAGATTACACAGCCTTCTTATAAGACAAAAGATTCTGTTCTACAGCAAAGGAATGGGAACTCCTTAGAACTCATCTGTGGTCTTGTTGTCAAGAAACTCTAGGAACCACAGATTCTTCTTTTTTTAAAATATATTTTATTCATTTATGTCATTACAGTTGTCCTATTTCCCCCCCTTCATTCCCCTCCACCCTGCACACCCCTCCCTCACCATTCCCCCCATTTAGTTTATGTCCATGTGTCACAAGTTCTTTAGATTCTATATTTCCCATACTATTCTTGCCCTGCCCCCTGTCTATTTTCTATCTACCGTCTATGCTACTTATTCTCTGTGCCTTCTCCTCCTCCCACTCCCCTGTTGCTAACCCTCCATGTGATCTCCATTTCTATGATTTTGCTCCTGATCTAGCTGTTCTTTTAGTTTGCTTTTGTTTTAGGTGTGGTTGTTAATAACTGTGAGTTTGCTGTCCTTTCACTGTTCGTGCTTTTTTAACTTCTTTTTCTTAGGTAAGTCCCTTTAACATTTCATATAATAAGGGCTTGGTGATGATGAACTCCTTGAATTTGATCTTATCTGAGAAGCACTTTATCTGTCCTTCCATTCTGAATGAAAGTTTTGCTGGATAGAGCAATCTTGGTTGTAGGTCTTTAGATTTCATGATTTGGAATACCTCTTTCCAGCCGCTTCTGGCCTGTAAGGTCTCTTTTGAGAAATCAGCTGACAGTCTGATGGGGACTTCTTTGTAGGTGACTGTCCCCTTATCTCTTGCTGCTTGTAGGATTCTCTCCTTCATTTTAATCTTGGCTAATATAATGATGATGTGCCTTGGTGTGTTTCTTCTTGGGTCTAACTTCTTTGGGACTCTCTGAGCTTCCTGGATTTCCTGGAAGTCTATTTCCTTTGCCAGATTGGGGAAATTCTCCTTTATTATTTGTTCAAATAAGTTTTCCACTGGTGGCTGTTCCTTTCCCCCTTCTGGTACCCCTATAATTCAGATGTTGGAGCGTCTAAAGATGTCCTGGAGGTTCCTAAGACTCTCCTCATTTTTTTGTTTTTTTATGTTTAAAATTATTAAAAAATATATTTTATTTATTTATTTTTAGAGAAGGGAATACAGGGAGAAAGAGAGGGAGAGAAACATCAATGTGTGATTGCCTCTCGTGTGCCCCGCACTGGGGACCTGGCCTGCAACCCAGGCATGTGCCCTGACTGGAAATCGAATCAGTGACCCTTTGATTTACAGGCAGGTGCTCAATTCATATGTTTCTCCCTTGCTGCCTTTAAGATTCTCTCTTTGTCCTTGAATTTTGCCATTTTAATTATGATGTGTCTTGAAGTGGACCTCTTTGGGTTCCTCTTGATTGAGACTCTGTGTTTCCTGGATTTGTATGGCTTTTCTCTCATTAAATTAGGAAAGTTTTCCATCATTACTTTTTCAAACAGGTTTTCTATCTATCCTTTGCTGTTCTTCTCCTCCTTCTGGTATTCCTATTATATGGAATGATTATGTTTCAAGTTTTCTTGCAGTCTCTTACCACCTGTTCATTCTTTCTTAGTCTCTTTTCCTTTTCTTACTGTATCTGGGTGTTTTTTTCTACCTTGTCCTCCAGCTCACTGATTCATCTTCCGCTTCATCTAGCCTTCTTATAGTTCCTTCTAGTGTGTTTTTTATTTCTGAGATATTATTGTTCATTTCTTTCTGATTTTTGTTTGTTTCTATTTCTTTATTCATGCTGTTATAGTTCTCACTCAGTTTCATGTAGTTGTCTGTGAGTTCCTTGAGCATCTTTCTAACCATTATTTTGAATTCTGTATCTGAGAGTTTGTTTACCTTCATTTTGTTTAGCTCTTTTCGTGGGGAGTCCATTTCTTTTTTTTTAATTTATTTTTTTATTGATTATGCTGTTATAGTTGTTCTATTACCCCCCTTCATTCCCCTCCACCCTACCCCCCCGTCCCTATCATTACCCCCCCTTTAGTTTATGTCCATGTGTCACAAGTTCTTTAGATTCTATATTTCCCATACTATTCTTGCCCCCCCATCTATTTTCTATCTACTGTCTATGCTACTTATTTTCTGTACCTTCTCCCCCCTTTTCCTCCTCCCACTCCCCTGTTGCTAATCCTCCTTGAGATCTTCATTTCTATGTTTCCACTCCTGATCTAGCTGTCCTTTTAGTTTGCTTTTGTTTTAGGTGTGGTTGTTAATAACTGTGAGTTTGCTGTCCTTTCACTGTTCATGTTTTTTTAACTTCTTTTTCTTAGATAAGTCCCTTTAACATTTCATATAATAAGGGCTTGGTGATGATGAACTCCTTGAATTTGATATTATCTGAGAAGCACTTGATCTGTCCTTCCATTTTAAATGAAAATTTTGCTGGATGGAGCAATCTTGGTTGTAGGTCTTTGGATTTCATGACTTGGAATACCTCTTTCCAGCCCCTTCTTGCCTATATGGTCTCTTTTGAGAAATCAGCTGACAGTCTGATGGGGACTTCTTTGTAGTTGACTGTCCCCTTATCTCTTGCTGCTTGTAGGATTCTCTCCTTCATTTTAATCTTGGCTAATGTAATGATGATGTGCCTTGGTGTGTTTCTTCTTGGGTCCAACTTCTTTGGGACTCTCTGAGCTTCCTGGATTTCCTGGAAGTCTATTTCCTTTGCCAGATTGGGGAAATTCTCCTTTATTATTTGTTCAAATAAGTTTTCCACTGGTGGCTGTTCCTTTCCCCCTTCTGGTACCCCTATAATTCGGATGTTGGAGCGTTTAAACATGTCCTGGAGGTTCCTAAGACTCTCCTTATTTTTTTGAATTCTTGCTTCTTCACTCTTTTCTGTTTGGCCATTATTTGCTTTCTTCTGGTCCACTCCATTGATTTGAGTCCCAGTTTCCTTTTCATCGCTATTGGTTTCCTGTGCAATTCCATTCATTTCAATTAGTTTTGCCTTCATATGTTTGTCTAATTTGTGGCTATAATCAACCAGTTCTGTGAGGATCCTGATGACCAGTGTTTTAAACTGTGCGTCTGAGAGTTTTGCTATTTCTTCATCTCTTAGATTTATAGGCTCTGGGGCTTTGAGATCTTCTTGAGCCAGTTTTGGTCTGTTCGCTCCCGTTAAGTGTGAGGAGCGGAGCCTTGGACTTCCAGGTCGCTGGGTTGTGATTCTGTATGTGGAAGCGGGGTCAGAGCGGGGAAATGGCGCCCCCTCTGCTGTTTCTTGCAGCTGGGTGAAGAGCAGAGCCTTAGGTTGTTCACCGGGGCAGAGCCACTTAGGTCGCTGGATTATGACGCTGTATGTGGAGGCGGGGTTAGAGCGACAAAATGGCGGCGCCCTTAGCCACTGCTTGCCGCTGGCACTGCTGGCTCTTGTCCAATTGCCCATTCCCTCGCTTGTCTATCCACACACGAATTCGAGACCACAGTCAACCCACAGCCCTGCTCCCTCGCTGTTTCCCTGCGATTGCTTGCTGAGTTGCCCACCAGGTCCAACCCTGTGCCTGGATTCCGCGCGCCTGAGTCTGTCTGACCGAGTTTTCCTGTGCTACCCCACTCTGCCAGCTGCTGGTTTTGCCCCTCTTACCGGTCAGGCTGAAGAATTTGTTGTTAACAGACTTCTGAAAAGTTCAATTTTCTGTGTTCTGGCTGTGTTTTATGTTGCTGATATTTAGTTGTCTCTAAACTTGGTTGTGTGAGAAGGCATGGCCTCTCCATCTATGCCTACATCTTGGTGGAAGTCCAGGTGTGGTTCTTAATAACTGAGAGTTTGCTATCCTTTCACTGTTCATCTTTTTTATCTTCTTTTTCTTAGGTAAGTCCTTTTAACATTTCATATAATATGGGCTTGGTGATGATGAACTCCTCTAACTTGACCTTATCTGGGAAGCACTTTATCTGTCCTTCCATTCTAAATGAAAGCTTTGCTGGATAGATGAATCTTGGATGTAGGTCTTTGGATTTCATGACTTGGAATACTTCTTTCCAGCCCCTTCTTGCCTGTAAGGTCTCTTTTGAGAAATCCGCTGACAGTCTGATGGGAACTCCTTTGTAGGTGACTGTCCCCTTATCTCTTGCTGATTCTAGGATTCTCTCCTTCATTTTAATCTTGGGTAATGTAATTATGATGTGCCTTGGTGTGTTCCTCTTTGGGTCAACCTTCTTTGGGACTCTCTAAGCTTCCTGGACTTCCTGGAAGTCTATTTCCTTTGCCAGATTGGGGAAATTCTCCTTTATTATTTGTTCAAATAAGTTTTCCACTGGTGGCTGTTCCTCTTCCCCTTCTGGTACCCCTATAATTTGGATGTTGGAGTGTTTAAAGATGTCCTGGAGGTTCCTAAGTCTCCCCTCATTTTTATGAATTCTTGTTTCTTCATTCTTTTCTGTTTGGTTATTTCTTTCTTCCTTCTGGTCCACTCCTAGTTTCCTTTCCATCACTATTGGTTTCCTGTGCATTTCCCTTCATTTCAGTTAGTTTAGTCTTCATTTTTTCCTCTAATTTGTGACTAAAATCAACCAGTTCCATGAGCATCCTGATCACCATTGTTTTAAACTGTGCATCTGATAGGTTAATTATCTCTTCGTCACTTAGAATTATTGGCTCTGGGGCTTTGAGCTGTTCTTGAGCCATAATGTTTTGGTCTGCTCGCTCCTGTTACGAATGAGGGGCAGAGCCTTATGTGTTCACCAGGGCAGGGCAACCCAGGTCGCTGGTTTGTGACGCTGTATGTGGGAGCAGGGTCAGAGAGGAGCAATGGCGTTTTTTCTGCTCTCTCTGGGATTTCGGTCCTCTCTGCTGCTTCCCACAAGCAAACCGGGCCCCTGCACCCTCTAGGACCCTGTGGGTCTCTCCAACAACCTCTCCGTGAGCCTGGGAGCTTCTCCCGGCACCTCGACCCCAAAAGTTTTTCCAATTGGTGATTTTAGGCTTTAATTCCCATCACTGGGGCCCTAGCCTTTGCAGTCTCTCTCACTGCTCGCTCTTTCGCCTGGTTTATCTGCGTGCAAATGTGTGACAATGGTCAGCCAGCTGCCTTGCACCCTCACTGGGTCTGCCCGTTGCCACCCCATGCCTGGGATCTGCCAACTGCCACCTATGCGCCTGGGTCGATCTGGCCGCTTTTTCCTGCCGGACCCTGCTCTGCCTGCTCTGCCAGCTGCTGACTCTACCCCTCTTACTGGTCTGGCTGAATGGTTTGTTGTTGTTGGACTTCTGTACAGTTCAATTTTCTGTGTTTTGGTTGCATTTTTGTTACTAAAACTTTGTTGTTTTTAAACTTGGTTGTGCGAGAAGGTACAGTGATTCCACCTACACCTCCATCTAGGCCGGAAGTCTGATCCTGGAACCACAAATTATTAAAAAATATATGTATTTTATATTAGGGCCCAAGGCATCTAAGGGTAACACAGGAAACTACCTCCAAGGACTAAAGAATCAATTTATAATTCATTTTGACATGTTCTCTAACAAGGCTATATATAATTCATTTATTGACAATCCCATATTACTCCATTTTGCTTCTTAATGTCGTCACATCATTGTGTCAGATGAGAATGAATTGGATTATTAAAAAGATGTCCAGAGAAAAAGATTATACCACTTTCCAGTTATTCATCCAGTAAGTAGGAAGAGAAAATTTAAAATAATGGTAAATAAATATAAAGAGCCAGGGGCTTACAGGGGAACAAATTACAAGGGCATAGCAAGTTCCTGATTGCTACTACATGCCAGTCCATTGCCTCCATAAAGGCTTTCAGTCTTCCTTCATTGCAATTTCTATTCATAATATTAAATTTAAATACATTAGAAATGATCCAGTTACTTTACAGTCTTTAAAAGGGCCTAAAACTAGTAGGTTCTGGCCAAAATGGAGGCATAGGTAGAAACCCTTCCCTTCTGCACACAACCAAAAGGAGGATAACAACCAATCTAAAATCAATAAACAACCAGAAGTGCCAGAAAATCAAACTACATGGAACTCCGACAACCAAGGAATTAAAGAGACAGTCAACCAGACCAACCAGACTGGTAAGATGGGCAGGCTGAGAGAACCCACAGTGAGGCAGTGGACTGTAGTAGGTGGGGCTGGCTGAACTGGAAACAGACTCAGAAGCTGACTGTGGACTACAGTGAGGGTTGCCTGGGTGGGAGAGACTCCCAGTCACACACCAGAGTATGGGAGTTTATTGGAAATTGGGGCTAGAGCCTAGGCTAGCTGCATTGTTCCCTCTCTGGTCCCTCCCCCACAGACAGTGCCTTGCAGCAAGGAGGGTTGCCCTGCCTTGGTGAATACCTAAGGCCCTGCCTCCTTACAACTTAACAGGTGTGCCAAGACAAAGAAATAGGGCCCAAATGAAAAAACAGAGCAAAACTCCAGAAAGAGAGCTAAGCAATAAGGAGATAGCCAACCTATCTGATGGAGAGTTCAAAGCCCTGGTAACTAAGATGCTAACAGAACTGACTGAGCTTGGTCACAAAATGAAAGAACAAATGAAGGATACCCAAAGTGAAATAAAGCAAAATATTCAGGGAACCAACAGTGACAGGAAGAAAACCAGGACTCAAGGCAATGATTTGGAACAAAGGGAAGAAATAAACATCCAACTGGAACAGAATGAAGAAACAAGAATTAAAAAAAAAAAATGAAGAGAAGCTTAGGAACCTATGGGACAATTTTAAGTGTTCCAATATCTGAATTATTGGGGTACCAGAAAGAGAAGAACAAGAGCAAAACATTAAAAAGATATTTCAACAAATAATGAAGGAAAACTTCCCCAAACTAGTGAAGGAAATTGACTTCCAGGAAGTCCAGGAAGCCCAGAGAGTCCCAGAGAAGTTGGACCCAAAGAGGAGCACACCAAGGCACATCATTTATTAAGTTACCCTACATTACAAATAAAGAGAGAATCTTAAAAGCATCAAGAGGAAAGGAGAGAGTTACCTACAAAGGAGTTCTCATTAAATGAAGGAGTGCCCATAAGACTGTTGGCTGATTTCTCAAAAGAAACCTTACAGGCAAGAAGGAGGTTGAAAAAAGTATCTGAAGTCATGAAAGGCAAGGACCTACATCCAAGATTACTCTACCCAGCAAAGCTATCATTTAGAATGGAAGGGCAGATAAGCTGCTTTTCAGATAAGGTCAAGTTCAAGGAGTTCATCATCACCAAGCCCTATTAAATGAATGTTAAAGGGACCTAAGAAATTAAAGATAAAAAACTATGACCAGTAAAATGACTACAAAGTCACAAATATCAACAAATGAACCTAAAAAAAAAAAAAAAGAAAACCAGCAAAAATAAAAACTAAGCAAACAACTAGAACAGGAACAGAATAAGAGAAATGGACATCCCATGGAGGGTTTTCAGTGGGGAAGGTGAAGGGAGGAATAGTGGGGAAAAGTGCAGAGAAGAACCATAATTGGTAGGCATAAAATAGACGGAGGGGTCAAAAATGGCATAGGAAACAGAGAACTCAAAGAACTTATATGTACAACCCATGGACATGAACTAAGGGGGGGCATGCTGGTGGGCTGGGGGGTGCAGGGAAGACGGTGGATAAAGGGGGAAAACTATAATAATATAATCAATAAAATATACTTTTAAAAAAGGGCCTAAAACTTAAACTTTTTTCTTCATTCTTCATCCTCAACAATTATAACACTGATATCAAGAACCATGGGAATGCATATTATATTTAGCACCATTTGTGGAAAGACCAAAGGATTTCTAGGTCCCACTCTTAATAAAACATAAATATATCCTTTCTAAAAGTTCATTCTTACTATGTGGGTATTAGTGATATAATAATTGGATTTCAGTTCTACACCATAAAATTCTGTTTCTATGATTAATTCAATGGGATACATATTAATAATCTTTCCAGAGAGTCTAAAGCATAGATGTGCAACTGAGGCTGAGAGTTCTTCCATGTGTAATGGGGAAGCTCTCCAAAGGCTGACACATACACACAGGGAACTGGAACCTGTATGACGACACTGTCTACATATTATACATAGCTCTACCCTAACCTAGTTTCAGGTTTTGCTTTTTAAAAAGTATAGAAGGAGAGTCCATCCTACCATTACTATTGAAGAATATATCCTCTGACTTACCTGATAGAATCTGATCTCATGAGGCAAGAAGATGTTTATTTTCAGGGGATCTCTTAGGGTGTCAACAGCCATGACCCCAAAAATCCTCATATATGCATCCTGAAGAGGCAGAGCGAGCAATGACCCATTTTGATCAGTCTCCTTGTGGGAATGGTTCCAGAAGAAAATGTTCCCATGGTGCTGAACTTGGGGGACATGTATTGGCTTCCCTTCATCTACTACTGTAAAGCTGAGGAATAGGAACATGAAGATGGGAGAAAGGCACAGAAGGGGCTTTAGAGTAAACCATGCAGGGAACTAGATCAATTCTCCATAATTATTGGCATTATATGTCAGCATAGTGGACTCATAAAATTACCAGTTTGGAGAGTCTGACTTAAAAGATTTACAAATGAGCTCAGATCATAACAGAGATAACAGATATAAACAGGAAACAGGAGACAATTTATAGAGCAGGCAGAAACAACTGAACTGATATTGTGAAGCAGAGTTCCTATCTGGCAGCTCAATGCCTAAGGTGAGCTCTGGAAATGATTAGGTAAAATCACCCAAGACTGGAAACCCACCCCACTCTCACACTTACCTCCCACTCTGGAAGCATTTGGTGACTTGAGGCATCTCTCCCTTAGGCAGCTAACTAGGATTTCAATGCTAGCTTACTTCAGAAAGGGAATTATGGTATTTTTTTTAGAAGGCCAAAACCAACCTTTTCCAGAAATCCTTACCTGATTCCTTTCATGTCCCTGTAGAGCACTTTGTTTAATACAAATGGAGCATCTTCTAAAGTACAAGCTGTATTCCTTAACAGAACAGTCCCTCTATCAGGCAGTAGTTGGTTTTCTTCTAAAAGGGAAATGTGGGCACTGATCTTCTTATTTCCATGGACTTGAGCATCCTATGGCAAAATGTTTCTGATCATGCATTTGCCAATAGCTATTCTCTTGTGTTTCCCTTCATTAGCCACTTTGTGCATCTAACCCCAACAATTTCATTTTTATGAGTAAATAATGAACATATTACCACTCATGGACAATCCCCCAACCTGAGTTTTAGTGAGTGGAATGAATTTACTTTATGCCAACTGGACCAGCTTACTAAACAAACAGACAAAAAGCTCTCAAAGTCTACTCAAATTTAGTTTTAAAGCTTGGATCCCTTTGAACTATAGTCATATTGTCTGGGCTTTAGTAAAAAGTATTTATTTTAGAGAGGTGGGGCAAGAAGATGGCTTTATTCTACTTATTTCTTAACCATCTACTATGATATAAACATGGAAAAATGCTCAAGGAAGTCTTAACATAGCTTGGCTATTAATTTGATTTATGTCATTTTTAAAAAAGGATTTCTTGGGACCCCAGATTGTAGACTTTATGCAACTACTATTTCTAATAGAAATAACAGAAAATTCTCTGTATCTAAAATATTATTATGTCACTAAGACTATTATGTGTTAACACATACATTAAACATATCTATAAATTGGGAAACATGAGAGACACTTTCCTTGAAATTTGTCTCCCCTTTCTATATATTTGAGTTTGCTTGTCATGCCTTTTTTCTTTCTGCATTTATTTCGCTTTTTCTACATAAATGATCCATAGAGTAACTAACAAAACTGTAGTGAGATATCTGTTGGGGTACTGCAGATCTCTGAAGCAAGTTGGAGTAATAGCTCTTTTTCTTGACTGGCCTCCTGTTCCTAGTCACATCATTTCAAACTACATTGGAAACCAGCCATTCAGGAGGTGATTCGAATAATCAAGTGTTGCTATTTAGCTGAGCTGAATGACACAGGTTCCCTGGATCAATGGAATCTGTGATATATGTAGGAGATAGCCATGCTATTACTGTCTGGGAGGAGCAGCAAGCCAGAGTCTGTGAGGGAGTGGCAAAGGTGTGGACAGGGGCCCATCAGGGTAATGTGTTTTAAGTGACAGAGTTCTGTAGTAGACTTAGCTTGTTCCTAGGCAGTGAAAAATTGTGTGATGTTGGATTCCACTTTATAATAACTTTATGATTTAAATAGTTCATTTTTGAACTGACTCCCAAAATATGATGCAAGGAAAATGTAGCTTGACCTGCTTGCGTATCGTCCTGCTGGAATTTTCAGTATCAGTTTGTGTTCTAGGTTTATCTGAATGTCAGCACAAATGAAATTTGAGATTATGTCTTAATTCTATCTTTTACATCTTTCCTCTCTGCTTCTACCTTGCCAGCCTGGAACAATTGCATCTTCCACAGGATTTGAGTCATTGTAATATATTAAAATGAATAAAACATTTATAGCAATACCCGACAAATTTTAACAGAATTTAGTGTGCTCTTCCTTTGCAACCATCAAACATCACCTACTATAAGGAAAATTTTCTTCTTATATATCATTTTAGGAAATATACCTGTGTGAGGGCCTTAAAGGTCTCAGTGTACACTGGCTCCAGGGACACCCCACTTGTCTCTGCAGCCCGTTGAATGTGATGCAGCCACTTCCGTCTGGCACTATTCCTCAGACCCTCAATATGGCTCCTTTCTACAGCAGTCATCAGAAACTCCACAAGGCTTTCTAGAGCATGATCTTCATTGCCGTTGAGTTCAGATACAATCAATTCTATGTATTTCTGAAACTGTTTTGAAGACAACCTTACTTCATCACCAGGGTGTGGCTTTGGGAATTGGATGAACAGTTTAGCTAAAAGACATAAACAAAAAAACCAAGCACTAACCAAAAGGTCATTTACCTGTGGGGGAATTTTCATTCCTCTTACAACAAACTGAAGTCTCTGACAACTGCCCTCCCATGGAAAACCAGGTATATCGAAGGTGTCTAAGCCCAGTGGAACATCTACAGTGATGTCCCAGGCCTAAGGTCAAGATGATTCCTATGTCATCTTCTCTGTTTTTTTTTAAATTCTACCACTTAGGTAAAACTCCAAGGTCAACTTTGATTTCTCCCTACCTTTTATTGGGTTGGCAAAAAAGTCTGTGTTTTTTTCTGTAAAATAAGAGACTCATTTTTCATTTTCACCAATAATTTTATTGATTTGGATTTTTTTACTATGACAGCTACCTCCTGTGTGGTATGATGTTGATTGATCTCAGTTAATATCTTGATTTGATTACTAACAACTTCAGCTGGTCTACCCCACCATGGAGCATCATCTAGCAGGAAAGCTCCAGCACAAAACTTTGCAAACCACTTTTGATACATTGGATCAGTTACAGCACCTTCTCCATACACTGCACAAATCTTTTCTTGCATTTCAGTTGTGCTTTTACCTTTCTTGAAATAATAAAGCATAATATGCCAAAAATGTTGCATATTTTCTTCAATCTTCAATATCAAAATGGCTACACCAAAAATCACCAATTTTGATGATTTTTAATGTATGTTGATATAATAGCTGTCGCAATACAACCTAACAAAATTGTTTTTGAATTAAGTTAAAGGCAACTAAGCACTACTAGAGACATCTTACAGAAAAAAACAAACTTTTGGCCAACCAACTCCTTCCATTTCCAATAGACCAACCTAATTCTATCTTGTTAGTCTTTGACAATGTATCTTCTGCACATTCCTCTCCTTTCCTACTTCCATAGTCCCAAACCAGTATTAAACACTCTATAATTGAATTGCCAATGGTAAGGCTCAATACATGTTTGTAAAATTAAATTAAAACAAAACTTGCATTATGCAATTCCTTGGTCCAAAGTATATTTGGACCCTGTTCATTTTCCAAAAATATTTACCCATACTACCATATAGGAATTATTTGTTTCAGTATCCTCATTTTACTCATGATCCCTGACCATGCCTTGCACACTTCTATACCCACATCTTTTTTTCATATTTTATTCTACAATCATGATCCAGTACCAAATCTAAACATTACCAATAACTTACATCTTCCTCTTTGCCACTACCATTGTTCTACTCTGTGCACCAATATCCTGAAATTTTGCTTTTGCTTTTTTTCCCTTTTTATTTTCCTATTAGCGTTACTGTGTGTATGTGTGTGCATGCACACGTGTACTTCTAAACAGTATGTGGTTTTGTTTTGTTTGTATACTTTAGAAAAAGGACATCATACTATATGTAGTTTTCTGGGACTTGCTTTTTTATTCAATATTATACCAATATATACATCCATGTTGTTCCTGCAGCTGTGACTCATTCATTTTCATCACTATATCATGTCATTCTGTAAGATTACCACCATCAATTTATTTATTCTCTTATCAGTGGGCCTGTAGGTTATTGCTAACATTTTGCTTTTATGAATAGCACTAAGAGTATTTTTGTATGTGTTTTCTGGTACACATGTGTAAATTTAAAGTTCAAAATCTGTCCTTCCTCAAAAAGGTTTGCACCTCAAAGATAAAAGCATCCATTCTATATCAAATATTTGACAATTTACAAGGACTTCCTCTTTTAATCATCTTATCATATGAAAGTATCTTATTTCTAGAGTTGGACTTTTGTTGATTTTTGATCCCTAGTCATCTTTCCCCTGGTAACTGTAACCCAAATTTTGCTTTGGAGAAACTGCTCTAATCCCATGTCAGGTTCTATGTTTGAGTGAGGTTCCACTTGTGCATCTAGAGGTGGAGTATGCATCTCAGATCAAGCCGGTCAGGACATTCTTCTGTTCCCTTGGCCAGAGTAGTTGGTTTAGTCCTGGTGTATGCCAAACTCGTTACTTGAACTATTAGAAAGAAAGCTTTTTCCTTCTTATTCTCATTGGTCTTGAATAATAAATCTGTGAGGATGTGGGTGTGAAACTGGTTACCACAGGGGAAAGGTTATGTGAAAATGGAGCCAACGCACAGAAAAGAACAGGGCCAGAGCGAGAGAAAAAGAGAAAGAAGGAGACACCTGTCCTAATGTCATTATTTGAACTACCAAATCTAGTTGTGTCCTGAACTAGCCATGAACTTTTTCATTACATGAACCACTAAAGTCCTTTTTTGCTTAACCACTTGGTGTCGGGTTTTGTTTTTGTTTTTGTTTTGTTTTTGATTACTTGGACTCAAAGGGTGCTAAATCCTATAGTGTCCAATTAGATTAAAAGTAACTTGTAGGTTCTTCCACTTCCATTTTTTCTTCTTCTCCTTTCATTCCTTTCTTCTTGAACAATTTGGTCCTAAAGCCATTAGGTGGGGTGGAGTAAGGTATCTGCTCCTGATCAAGGGAAGCCATGGTGGCTCAGAGCAGGATATCAGAATCCAAGTGGGATAAGGAGGGCATCTGTGAAGGAAGTGCCTTGGCACGTGTTATCAGAGCCTAAGCAGAGTGAGGGGGTTAGCCATACACAAGAGCAGTAGTAAGTCCACATGAGCAAAGAGGGTAGCCCTGCAGAGAGGGTAGCCCTGCTTAGAGTATCAGAACTCAAGCAGGATAAAGAGGGTGTCCACATGGGGTGGATGTCCAACATGGAGTATTTAAGCCTGAACAGGGTGAGAAGGGATCCAAATTGAGGGACAACCTGGCTTGGGAAGTCAGAACCGAAACAGGGTGAGGAGCGTATCTGTGTGGAGGGGCAACCCAGCATAGGGAATAGGAGCCCAAGCAGAAGGAAGAGGATTTCCAGGTGGAGAGTCTGCTCAGCATGAGGAGAGTCAGACGACTGGGTAAACTGAGGAAGGGCATCTGCATGAAAAGGTGACTTATCATGGAATACCAGAGTTTAAGGAGTGTGGGAAGGGTATCCACATGGCAGGGTGATCTGGTGTGGGATGTCAGAGCCTGAGCAGAGTGAGGACGGAAACTATGTGGGAAGGATTGATGAGTACAGGGTGTTAGAACTTAAGTGTAATGATAACATCAGTGTGGGGGAGAGGACAGTGTGATAGGGGATTAGTTCCATATAAGGAGTTTGATCAAATAAATACTAAAATATCATTATGTGGTACATGACTGTAAGTATATTTAGAATAATATGAACAAGATAGAAATGAGCTACAAAAAAGGGAGAAAACTAGAATGAACCCTGTGGTATTGGACTGAATTTCAAGGTATGAAAGTGAACTTATGTTTTTTCTTTAATAGGTATTTACAGAGATATATACAGATGTAAATATCTGTGTACACACACACAAGCACACATATTCCCTTTAAGAAACTTGGGGTTAGGGACCTAGGAGAAATAAGCATGTGTAGAACCTAGATCTTGGCTTCTAAATACCATTCTTCACTAAAAGAAACCAGGAACAAATAAGTGATTGCAGGGAGCAGGAAGAATATAAGATGAACCTAGAGGATTTCATTGTGCCAGAAAGCAAGGAGATGCTCGAAGAATGATGAGTACATCATAAAAGGACACAAAAAACTGTCTGGCAGTTCCTTGTAAAATTAAAGATACACCTACCCTGGAGCCAAGAAATTCTACTTCTAGGTATTTTATTTAAAAGAAATGAAAATGCCCTGGTCAGTGTGGCTCAGTTGGTTGGGCATCATCCTGCCACTGGGGTATGGGGGACAGGTTTGATTACTGGTTGGGGCACATGCCTGGGTTGTGGGTTAGGTTGCCAGTTCGGTGTGTGCAAGGGGAAACCAATTGATGTTTCTCTCTCACATCGATCTTTCTCTCCCTCTCTCTCTCCCTCCCTACCCCTCTCTCTAGAATTAATTTTAAAAAAGAAAGAGAAGAAAAAGAAATGGAAACACATATTCACAAAAAGATTATTCACACATGATAATTCATAATATCTTTATTCATAATAGCTAAGAAGTGGGAACAGATGTCTATCAAATGGAGAATGGATTAACTATAGTATATTTATACAAGGAAATACTACTTAGCAATAAAAAGAGGCAAGTTGTTAATAATGCAACAACATGTAAGAAACTAAAAAAAATATGCTAAGTGACAGAAGCCTTACTCACTGGTCAAGATGGGGGCATAGGTGGAAACACTGTACCTCCTCGCACAACCAAATTTAAGGACAACAAAGATTTAGAAACAAAAACACAACCAGAACAGACAGAAAATTTAACTGTACCAAAGTCCAACAACAACAAACCATTATCCAGACCTATAGGAGGGTTGGAATCTGCAGCCAGTGGAGAGGCGTCGTGGCAGCAAAAAGCAGTGGTTGGAAGACCCAGGTGCAGGGAGGAAACAAGCAAACCCAGTGAGGCACGCAAGGTGGTTGGCTGACTATGGACACACATTCACGTGCAGATAAACCAGCCAAAAAATGGGCAGCAAGACAGACCGTGCAACCCAGGGATCCAGCAATGGGAAATAATGCCTAAAAGCACTGATTGAAAAAACTTGCAGGGGTTAAGGTGCCAGGAGAGACTCCCAGCCTTATAGGAGAGAGTTTGTTGGAGAGACCCACAGGGTCCTAGAACATACACAAGCCCACCCACCTGGGAACCAGCACCAGAAGGGCCCAATTTGCTTGTGAGAAAAGGCAGAGGGGACTGAAATCTGAGAGAGAGTGGAACAAGTGCCATTGTTCCCTCTCTGACCCCGCTCCAACATATAGCATCACAACCTAGCAACTGGGTTGCCCTGCCCTGGTGAACATCTGAGGCTCCACCCCTCATACGTATTAGGTGCACCAGACCAAAAAATTATGGCACAAATAGGAGAAAAAATCAAAGCCCCAGAGCCAATACTTTTAAGAGACCAAGAGATAGCCAACTAATCAGATGCACAGTTCAAAACACTGGTGATCAGGATGCTCATGGAACTGGTTGATTTTGGTCGCAAAGTAGATGAAAAAATGAAGGCTACACTAAGTAAAATGAAGAAAAATGCACAGGGAACCAATAGTGATGGGAAGGAAACTGGGACTCAAATCAAGGGAGTGGACCCGAAGGAAGAAAGAAAACCAAACAGAAAAGAATGAAGAAACAAGAATTCAGAAAAATGAGGAGAGGCTTAGGAACCTCCAAGACATCTTTAAACGTTCCAACATCTGAATTATAGGGGTACCAGAAGGGAAAGAGGAACAGCAACAAAGGGAAAACTTATTTGAACAAATAATAAAGGAGAACTTCCCCAATCTGGCCAAGGAAATAGACTTCTAGGAAGTCCAGGAAGCTCAGAGAGTCCCAAAGAAGTTGGACCCAAGGAGGAACACACCAAGGCACATCATAATTATATTAGCCAAGATTAAAATGAAGGAGAGAATCCTAGAAGCAGCAAGACATAAGGGGACAGTCACCTACAAGGGAGTTCCCATCAGACTGTCAGCGGATTTCTCAAAAGAGACCTTACAGGCAAGAAGGGGCTTGAAAAAAGTATCTGAAGTCATGAAAGGCAACGACCTACATCCAAGATTACTCTATCCAGCAAAGCTTTCATTTAGAATGGAAGGGTAAATAAAGTGCTTTCCAGATAAGGTCAAGTTAAAAGAGTTCATCATCACCAAGCCCTTATTATATGAAATGTTAAAGGGACTTATCTAAGAAAAAGAAGATAAAAAATATGAACAGTGAAAGGACAGCAAACTCACAGTTATTAACAACCACACCTAAAACAAAAGCAAACTAAGCAGACAGCTAGATCAGGAGTGGAGCCACAGAAATGGAGATTACATGGAGGGTTAGCAACAGGGGAGTTCAGGGAAGAGAAGAAGGGAGAAGGTACAAAGAATAAGTAGTATAGACGGTGGGGATAAAATAGACAGTGAGAGGGCAAGAGTAGTGTGGGAAATGTAGAAGCTAAAGAACTCATGACACATGGACATAAACTAAAGGGGGGGAAAGTGGGTGGGAAGGGATGTGCAGGGTGGAGGGAAATGAAGGGGGGAAATGGGACAACTGTAATGGCATAATCAATAAAATATATTTTAAAAAGAAGCCTTATTCAAAAGAATATATGTCTCATTTATATGAAGTTCTAGGAGAGAAAAAACTAATTGTTGCTGAAAACAACCAGAAGAGTGATTGGTTGTCTTGGGGATTGAGTAGTGGGGACTGAATGAAAAAGAAGCATGTTTTTGCTTTGCCTCTTTTAAAATTTTATTTATTTATGTTTAGAGAGAGAGGGGAAGGGAGGTTCTAAACATCAATGTGTGGTTGCCCCCCACACATCTCCAACTGGGGACCTGGTCCACAACCCAGGCATGTGCCCTGACTAGGAATCTATACAACAACCCTTTGGTTTGCAGGCCAGCACTCAATCCACTGAGCCACATGAGTCAGGGCTGTTCTTCATTTAGCTAGGGGTATGGGATACACAGGTTACACATTTGCCAAAACTCAGTGAATATATACTTAAGAATTTGTCTATTTCATTCTGTGTAAATTTTACCTCAAAAGAAAAAAACTATAAGTATATATTGAACTCTAATTAATGACATTTATGCTGAAGTATTCAGAAAGGAGTGTATTGATATCTCTAATTTAATGTGAAATGTATCAAAAATAAGAGAAATAGAAGGACAGAGAGATGGAGACATTAACAGATAGATAATAAAAATCTGTAGTAAAATGTAGTAATGATAGAAATCTAGGTGGTAGGAATATAGATACTCATTGTAAAATTCTTTCAGCTTTGCTGTATGTTTAAAATTTTTCATAGTAAAATATTGGAGGGGAGGACACAGGGAACAGATTGAAAGGACTTCCATGGGTCAAATCTAGTACAATATGAACATTGAAATAAATAATGATAGTGGTAGATTATAACCCACTGAATAAAATAGGAAACCACGAGTACATACTGTTATGAATGAATAAATAAAAAGTTTGACAAGAAAGGGAATGTTTATATGCTTTCAAAGTACCCACAAAATACTTATTAATTACAAAAGAAAGAAAAGTAACTTTAGAACAGAGCAAGAGATTGCTGATAACATTCAATGAGAACATATCATCACCTATATGATATTCTGCCAAAAATGAACAACCTGAATTTAATCATGAAGAAATATTAGATAAACCTAAAAAAGAAAAGAAAAAATTACAAACAACCTGTCAAAGTATGGAAATCAAGGAAAGATTGAGGAGTTTCTTAGAGATTCCTTTTCCAGAGTGAAGAAACAGCAGTAGTTTTACTAACTACTTGTCCAGGTTTAACTACTTGTCTAATTTATAAGATGAATAAATTCTGAGGATCCAATGTACAACACAGTGACTCTAGTTAACAACACTGTATTATACACTTGAAAATTGCTAAGAGTAGGTCTTAAATGCTCTAAACACACACACAAAATAGTAATTATGTGAGGTGATGGAGGTTTTAACTAACATTACTATGAGAATAATTTCACAATATATAAATGTATCAAATCAACATGTACATCTTAAATTTATACAGTGTTATATGTCAGTTATAGCTCAATAAAGATGAACAATTTATGGTCATACTAGAAGGTGTGAGGGTGGTATCTCATGGTTTTAGAACAACCAGTGTTTAACTCTATGCATGTCACAGTATTGGGAAACTTGAAGCCAGGTTGTTACCCCAACTTAAATAAGAAAAATTCTAAATTTTCACCTGTCTCTATAGATTCTTTTTCCATTCCTTCTTTGTATGCATACAAGAGTTCATCAACTTCCTTCAGATCCAAGAAACCTGAGGCATCACTGTCCCACATCTGGAAGAGGGCTTGTAGGAGAAGTCCCTGTTGAACTCGGGACGCTTTCTGTCTAGCCTGGAATACAAACAGGAAAACAAAGCACAGAAGACATGCTGTTTATTGTACTAGCTAGCATCCTATGTTTATTTCCCCCAAAGTGCAGTGCTTTTTATAAAAATAGCTTTATTTTGGGACTAAGCATGATATTAATGGAATAATGAAGCGTTTAATTTTAATCCTCTAAATACCACTTCTGTTTCACCTCTAGACAAAAAAAACCCAACATTTTCTGCATTGGATTAATGCTGGGGACAACTTTGTGTGGTATCGGGTAGTAGAAACTGTAGCCCCACATGATTGAGGCCTTGCCTGTAAGTCTCCACCAGAACACTGGAATGAAGGTAGCAGGCACAACCTGATACTACCGAGAGAAATCAGGCCTAAAGAATGCATTATACACTTTGAAGCTTGCTTTGCTTTGTATAGCCCTATTGATATAAATCAAATGTTTAAGTTCAAAGCATAAGGGATTGAACTCCTAGTGTCATGAATCAGGCCTTAACAACCTTCTGGTGTCAGCATACCTAACAGGCCCTGACCTGAGGCAGATCTCTGTGTTTCCTCAATTGTTATCTATAGATAATATCTGTTTTTATAACTATAGCCTTTGGACATTGATTGATGAGCTTTGCATGCATACTGTATACCCCTGCAAATAACAATCCCAATAAAAGCCGTTTCAGAGAAGGACTTGGAGCATTCTCTACTAGGGGGAATTACCACCTGCTTTTCCTGCCAGAACACAGATTGTGTTCCTGACAACTTATTCTCATTCGCAGCTGGCAGAGCTCCGAGAGACAGGGCATCCCAAAGATTAAAACACATTAATTTAGGAAGAGGTCTACACTCTTTAAGAATCATTAATTCCTTCCTTTTCACTTCCTCACTGGTAGTTCAGGAATGTGATAAACACAGGGGTGCCCAATCTGGCTTCTTGGTGGGATGTTTTGTAGTGAAGGGGGGTGAATATCTGTGTTCAAATGATTTAACATTTACCTAACTTGACATTCATTACATTTTAGACTTTTATTAGATTAATAATATCAGGAAGTGATTTAACTGATAAATAGATTTAATTGCTAATTAAAAAGAAAATGATAATATAAAGTGCTAATATAAAGAAAGTGAATATATATTGGTTAAATGAAGGGAACTACATTGAGGAGGCAAAAGGGATATCAACTCTAGAATTAAGTTGAGAAGACTCTTATGGCTGATGAGATTACTGAATATGCCAAGTGATCTAACTTAAATATTTCATATAAGAGCACATAAATTGTTTATATGCTAATGTGTGTGCATTTACCTATCACCTAATAGTAAGTTCTTACAAAATATGTACTACCTGGGTGTAATGCACATGAATAAAAAAATATATCCAAGCCCTAATCAAACCCTAGGTATGTGCATTTGTAAATGTACTCACATGGCACAGACAATTCACATACAGACACTCACATGCACACATTCTTACTCATACACATATCTGCTCCTTAGAATCTGCTTTTCAAGCTTCAGTGAAGGAAAAACAAAGCAGTACAAAATGATCTCTTGCCACCAGCAATCATGATATTATTAGGGGAATGAGTTCTCTGGACTATGATCTTACAATATTTGACAATAAAATATTTAATGGACATGCTTGTTGAAATAGTGGTAAACTGGGTTGTAAATTTTTAAAGAAAAGCCACACTAGGAACAACTGAGGTTGAGAAATTTGCTTATAATAGTGACTTCACTTGCTTCATTGATAAATGACAGTACTCACCTCTTCTAAGGCACTCATTTTCTCTTCTTCTGTTTCAACATAGCCTTTCTTAAAAAAGGAGGTGAGGGTCTCACTGACACTCAAAGGGGCATCTTCACCAACAAATGTCTCCAGGAGTTGCACAAATTGGAGCAGATTGAAGGAAACTCCATTGAAGGCACTCCTGCCTTTCACTTCTTTGTAAGACTGAATATTTCTGATAATTGAATGTAGGTCTATCAAGCAGGAAACATACAGTGAACAGTAAAATGAACAATTTTTTCAAAGATTAAGAAAAAAGAGTACTTACTGTAATGGACATCTGCTATTATTTTCCTGTCAGATATCCATGCTCCCTTTTTTAGGACAGCACCGTTCTCTTTCTTTCTTTCTTTTTTCTTTCTTTTTTCTTTCTTTTTTCTTTCTTTCTTTCTTTCTTTCTTTCTTTCTTTCTTTCTTTCTTTCTTTCTCTCTCTCTTTCTCTCTTTCTCTCTTTCTTTTCTCTCTCTCTCTCTCTCTCTCTCTCTCTCTTTCAATTTGACAAAACGTCTCTTCCCTAGTGTCAGTTTAGATAAGCCAGGTGGTACTTAACCTCCCCCACCCTTGCCCCCCAGGTGGCCATGTAATATAGTTCGGGCCAATGATTCATATACAACAGAAACAGGCCATAGGCCAATGATAATTAGACCCAGAACTTTTGGTGGAACTACTGGGGAAAGAACGACTCTTTCTTTACTCTGATTCCCAAAGAGGTAGGATGTAGGCTTAGAGATACTCCCATGGACATTTTTGTCATAGTATAGAAGAAACAACCAAAAATTGAAAGTTACAAAGAGTAGGACAGGGTCAAGGGACAGAGAGACAGTGTCCTGCTGCTATTGGATTTGATTGTACCCAAAACCAGGTGCAATCTGAACCTGCCAGTTAAATAACTCTGTAAATACCACATGGTAACCTCTTCCCCAAAGAGTCTTTACTGTATTTTTCTTGAAGCCCAAGGTTATAACATGAAGCATATTTCATAAACTCTTAACCCAGCACCTATGTTTGATTTATTTGTTGATTTAATCACTCATGCCCTTATGACTTCCATATGAGATTTGACATAAAATAATCACCCATGCATTTTTTCAAATAGTAAAGCAAATTGAAATAAAGATGTAAGATCAGGAGAAGAACATGAACTAGCAGGCCGGAAGAGCTTGACTAATGCCATGTATTTTCACCAAAATCTTTTTTTAAATAAAGAATTCATACATATAAGTTCTTTGGCTTCTCCATTTCCTATACTATTCTTAACCTCCCCTTGTCTATTTTGTACCTACCATTTGTGCTTCTTATCCCCTGGAACTTTTCCTCTCTACTTCTGCTTCCCCTTCCCCACTGATAACCTTCCATGTGATCTCTATTTTTGTGATTCTGTTCCTGTTCTAGTTGTTTGCTTAGTTTTGGGGGTTTTTTTTGTTTGTTTTTTAGGTTCAGTTGTCGATAGCTGTGATTTTGTTATTATTTAACTGTTCATATTTTTATCATCTTTTCTTCTTAAATAAGTCCCTTTAACATTTCATATAATAAGAGCTTGGTGATGATGAACTCCTTTAACTTGACCTTATCTGAGAAGCAATTTATCTGCCCTTCCATTCTAAATGATAGCTTTGCTGGATAGAGTCATCTGGGATGTAGGTCTTTGCCTTTCATGACTTTAAACACTTCTTTCCAGCCCTTTCTTGCCTGTAAAGTTTCTTTTGAGAAATCAGCTGACAGTCTTATGGGCACTCCTTTGCAGGTAACTGTCTCTTTTTCTCTTGCTGCCTTTAAGATTTTCTCCTTATCTTTAAGCTTCGGTAATGTAATTATGATGTGCCTTGGTGTGTGCTTCCTTGGGTCCAATTTCTTGGATTGTCTGGAAGTCTGTTCCCTTAGCCAGATTAGGGAAGTTTTCCCTCATTATTTTTTCAAATAGATTTTTGATTTCTTGCTCTTCCTCTTCTCCTCTGGCACCCCTATAATTCAGATGTTGGAGAGCTTAATGTTATCCTGGGGGATCCTAAGCCTCTCCTCATTTTTTTTTTTTGAATTCTTGTTTCTTAATTCTTTTCTGGTTGAATGTTTACTTTTTCCTTCTGCTCCAAACCATTGATTTGAGTCTCAGTTCCTTGCCTTCACTGTTGGTTCCCTATATATTTTTCTTTATTTCACTTTTCATAGCCTTCACTTTTTCCTCTATTTTGCGACCATACTCAACCATTTCTGTGAGCACCCTGGTTACCAGTGTTCTGAACTCTGCATCTGATAAGTTGGCTATCTCTTCATCACTTAGTTGTTTTTTGGGGTTTTTTTTTGGAGCTTTGATCTGTTCTTTTATTTGGGCCATATATCTTTGTCTCAGAGTGCCTGTTATGTAGTAAAGGGCAGAGTCTTAGGCATTTGCCAGGGTGGGGCAACCCACATCACTGCATTGTGGCACTGTATGTGGGTCCAAGAGGGAACACTGCTGCTTGCTTGTCTTTCAACCAGCTTTCAGTCACTTCCCTCACTACTCACAAGCAAATTGGGCCCTTTGGGTGCTGATTCCTGGGTGTGTGGGTTTGTGTATGTTTTAGAATCCTGCAGGTCTCTCCAATGAACTCTCCTGTGAGGCTGGGAGTGTCTCCCACTGCCACAACTCCCACAGGTTTTAACAGCCAGGGATTTTGAGGCTTTATTTCCTCATGCTGGAACCCTGGATTGTGTGGTCTGTCTTGTTCCCCAGTTGTTCCTCCTGATTTATCTCCATGTTAATGTGGGACTAGCTGGTATACCAGCTGTTGCCTGGCTCACTCTGGTCTTCCATCTGCTACCTTGCCATGTGTCCTCTCTGCCCTGGTTGCCCATCTCTGCCCCTCCTCCCAGAAACAGTCTGGATGAATGTTTCTTCTTTAACCCTTTGGTTGTCAGACTTCTTTACAGGTTGATTTTCTGACAGTTCTAGTTACTTTTGTTTTTAAATTTGTTGTTGTCCTTCTTTTAGTTGTGCGGGAGACAAAGTGTATCTACATATGCCTCCATCTCGATCAGAAATCCTCACTAAAATACTTTGAGAATAGAAAGGTGATTATTCTCCCCAGACTTAAATAAGAAGAATTTTGCAGATAAGAAGAAATAATCTTCTAAGTGGACAACTAGATCAGGTGCAGAATCATAGAAATGGAGATCACAAAGAGGGTTAACAACAGGAGTGTGGGAGGAGGAGAAGAGGGGAGAAGGTACAGAGAATAAATAGCATAGATGGTAGGTAGAAAATAGACAGGGGGAGGGCAAGAGTAATATGGGAAATGTAGAAGCTAAAGAACTTGTGACACATGGACATGAACTAAAGGGGGAAATGGGAGGGAGGGGGTGTGGAGGGTGGAGGGAAATGAAGGGATGAAGGGGGGAAATGGGACAACTGTAATGGCGTAATCAATAAAATATATTAAAATAATCTTGATCTAGTTAGTTCTATTTCTTGTTGATGACAGGAAAAATGATGAAATAGCATTGTAGCAAAATATAAGTACTTGTTGGAACAATCACTGTTAAATACATGGTTTGTCTAAGTGCTAAAAGCTACTGTTTGCTCTCTCTGTTGAGCAGATCTTTTTGTATAAGTCTTCAAAAACAAGCTGTATTCTTACCTGTTTCACATGTTTGGACATGAAACTACCAGGGAGAGGAATAGCTGAAGTAATTTCTACTGAGTAGTAACATCTAATAATATCTGATTCCTTTTGTATACTTGGATCATAGCTTCAAAGCAACTGTTATGCCATGTAATGATTTTTAAAAACTGTATGGTAATGCACATGTTTTTAAGCACAGGAACATTCTTAAATAGCACGTTCCTACTACCACCAAAAACATTAATCTTGCATATTTTTAGATCCATCAGCTCAGGGACAAAATAATGCAAGGTTCACCCTGCTGTTGTGTTTTACCTAAGTCCAGTCTTTATCATGGGGTACCACAGTAAATTAAATTCATCAATCATACTGCAATTTCTCCTTTCTAATTTTGTTGTTAATATGTACCTGTGAACCTGGAGTTACCATAGATTAAGTTTGCCTGTTCCTCATCTTCACATTTGGCATACTTCTTCCAGTTACAAGTGAAAAGTTCACCTATAAAATACACATTCCACAACATAGGCAATTTAACTTCACAATGATTTAACTTCACAATGTTTTTGTTCTAGAGTATTAAATGAAAGGAGGATTAAATGAATCACCTGACCATGACTTTCCTTCTATATGGGGGGACTTGGGTTCACAAGCTTTGTCTTTCTGAACTTTCTCTTCTGCAGTTTCTAAGAGGTACAGAAGAAAATGACTATAAGTTGGACATATTTTCTTAAGTTAACAAACAGGAGAAATGACTTGCATATATTATAGATGCACAGAAAACTTTCAGTACTTTCTCATACATGTTGTGTCATAATCAACCACAATGATATTAGTTAATAACTTTAGTTGTTGAGAGAAGCTCTGTGACAAAAGCTATTTGTTGTATCCTAGTTTGGCCATGCAAAACGAGGGCTACATTTCCTAGCCTCCCTCACAGCTAGGTATTACTACATGCCTAAATACTGACCAATGGTAGATGAAAGGAAATGATGTGGTGCCTACTCATTTTCATTTCTCCTTACCCGAGGGTCACAATGAACACATGGTAATGAGCCATCTTTGACCATGCAGTTGGAGGAGACACAAGACAGAAGTTAGAGCCACTGATTATTTCATGGGACTGAACTATCATGTAACTTCTGACTTTTATATGAGAAAGAAAGATACTCCTATCTTATTTAGACATTGTTATTTTGTGTTGTTTTTGTTTGTATATATTTTAGACACTGTTATTTTTATCACTGTTACACATAGCCAACATTAAGTCTTCACTAACATAACATCTAATTGAATAATAACTTCACTAAATTTTTTTAAAGCTGCACTCCAATATCAGGAGAGGCAGAAATCAGTAGCTCTGTTTTGTGGAGAAATAAACATGACACTAAAAAAATAAAATATTTCAAATTAGTTGATGATAGTGTAGAATCATCTAGAACACAGGTTACCCATCTCTTAGAAGTTTCTTTCGGTACTGTAGAATGAAGAAGCAGAACTTTTAAAAAATTAAGCTTAATTAAGATCTTCAGTTGTATTGAGATTGGACCTCTAAACATCAGAATTTTCAAAAAAGTTCACAAATTGGCACAGGCAATTCAGAGGAAAAGTCTTCTACAGAATAAATATTTGAAATGCAGAGTGCTCTCTGTCTTAAATATGATTTTTCAGAAATATTTCTAGAACATATATCTCATATATAAATGTAAAAAACAAGATTCATTTATAGTTGAAATAAAAGAAAAATTTAAAAAGCAGTTTCTAGTACCAGACACCACATTTAAAACAAAAGGGCTTCTACTGCCTTTTCAGAGGTCCAATGTAAATTTCTTTATGTAACATTACCAGATTTCTTCCTTACAAATGTGTTTCTAGTATAAAGGGAATTCTTGGTACATAGACAATAGAGACTTTCTGGTTTGCATTTACTTGATTGTTCTAAAGTCTAGACTCAGGCTGAGTAGCAAAATATGGCTGAGATATTTGTATGACCTGATATGCCAGAAAATATCTTCATTGAAATGAGTGTTTTCTGAAAAAACTTTAAAAACCACATCACAAAACAGAGTGATGATGTAAGAGAACTTCATTACTACCTGAAAGATTATCTTTTTTACTTGATACTAGATCTTCTTCTTGAAGTTCAGAAATTGTGAATAGTTGCTCTTTAGATATTTGCTCTTCAGTCTTCTCTTCCTGTGGTGGGATTTCAATATGCTCAAAGGGAGTAGCCTCCCTAGATTTTTCACTTTCTGTTAAGATACTATCTTCCTTTGATTGTGATATTGAGTCCATGTCCTGTTCCTCTGGACTTGTCTCTGTGAGTGGTTCTTGTTCTTCAGTTGACCCTTTATATGTTTCTCCTATTGTTGACTCTCTGCGTGACGATCTGCGTGATCCTTTTCGTGATAGTGACTCTCTGCGAGATCCATCTTCTACAACTGACCCTCTGTGTAATCCTTTTGGTGTTACTGACCCTCTGCGAAGTCCATCTTCTACAGTTGACCCTCTCTGTGACCCTTTTGGTGTTACTGACCCTCTGCGAGGTCCTTCTTCTGCAACTGACCCTCTCTGTTGTCCTTGTTCTACTCCTGACTCTCTGTGGGACCCTTCTTCAATCGACCCTCTGTGTGGCCCTTGTTCTACTACTGACTCTCTGTGAGATCCTTCTGCAATTGACCCTCTGTGTGGTCCTTGTTCTATTTCTGACTCTCTGAGAGATCCTTCTTCTACAGTTGACCCTCTGTATGTTTCTTGTTGCATCGTTGACCCTTTGTGTTGTCCTTGTGCTGTTATTGAGTCTCTGTACAGTTCTTGTTCTCCAGTTGACTCTGTGTCTTGTTCTTCAGTTAAAATTTCATTTGGTTCTGGTCTTGCAATTGTCCCTTGCTGATGTTCAGGTACACTTGGTAATAGTGTTGATTTTCTATGTTTATCATGTTCGTGTTGATCTTCTGAATTCTTTAATAATTCACTTTGGGTTTTGCCAGCATGTTTTCCAGACAGTAATCTATTCATCTCTAAGAGCACATTGTCAAAGTCTTCATAAATGTGTTTTTGATTATCCATGTCTCCCCAGAACTCAGACAAGTCCATCTCTTCAAATTCAATGAATGGCCCTAGTGCAGGAAACAAAACATTTACCTAAACAATTGATCTTATAATGCAGAATCAGAACTAGCAAATTAATGCAAAAAGCATTGAGCACAGTGATTATAATATAGGCCTATTTCTTTAAATAAACATCAGTTACTTTTCCTTGTAATGCAATAAAAACCAGAAACATATCCATTTGAACATAAAAGATGCTCACTACTGTAAATTAGAAAGTGTCCCTTCCTAAAAGGTATGGTTTTGAAAGTAAACATTCTTCTTTTGCTAGTTGGAGAGCTGCTTAAACTGCCAAGGCAAATACAACATATTCTCTACTTTTGGTCCTCCCACAATAAGGCTGGCATGGGATGGGGGAGAAGACACATGTTGTCCACCTCAAATATCTTTTCAATATTTTCAATAGAAAAATAAAATCACATCTCTACCCATGACAATCTTTCACTGGGCTACTTTTCCCAATATTCATTTTCTTTCCCTTTCTTCTTGTCTACTTTTCTTTCTTCTTCATTCTTCAATTCTTCTCCTTGACAACTTATGTGGACACCTTACTCAGAATTCTAGGGAAAGACAGAATAGCTTTCACCAGAATCCCACCCTTAAAAAGAAAACCACCAAAGCACCACTGGTGTCCTGGACTACAGAGAGTGAGACCATGCCATCAGACTGCCTCCTCCCTTCTAAAACATGTAGTATTTAAGCTATAAAATTGTGACTCCCATAGTTTTAGGGAATACTCTACATACATCTTCCACAGATTTTTAGTTATCTAAGTAATACATTTTTACACAGAAGTAAAATATTGACATTCTTGGAAAACCCATTCATTCAATGACTTTCTCTTAAAAAAATAAAAATAAAAATAAAACCCCTAGTCCTCTTTTTCTGGGTAGTAATATAAAAATTTCACTGTATAAGATCAGCAAAGGTGTACAAGTAAAAATGCTTTGGAAAAGGAAACATATTTCTTCAAAATGTTAGAATTCTAAATTGGACATTAAAACTAGAATTACCATTACCAACTTATTTCTGAAACATTCGGATTGTTACTAAAACACCTCTTCATTTAAATGAATTTAAAATTGAGTTCTAGTTGAGTTCTCGCTTGACAACTTTCAGTATTGCACTGTAATGAAAAATACATCTGGTTGTGATGAAGAGTAAATTTTGTGGGGAATGAACAAGCAAGTATAGCTATCATGATCTAAGGGAGATATTATGTGAAGAAATTCCACAAGCATAGAATGGCCTTGTATTATCATATTAGTGTGCTTCATCATTTTGGTCTGAACGTACTCACTCTGAGTGGCACTTACATTGTCTTGGGTTTCGGAGTGAACTTCGCAGCATTTTTGAACTTTGGTCATAGAATGTTTCCAGCAAAGCTAATGTCCTCTGCCGATCCAAAAACCCTACCTAAGCAGAAAGTTTGTAGTTAGTTGTTACAGGAGATTTGAGATTTTTATGTAGATGGAATATAGCTTATTAAAACATTCATTATCACCACCACCATCACTGTATAAATAAAATCTGCAGAGTCAAAATCAGGAAAACTGTATCTTTCCTCTTTAGGCTATACTCTACTAATCCATTCTGTGACATGTCAAAATGTATTGCACTTAATAGATGCTTAATAAATATTAGTTGTTACTGACATGATTGCTAAATCTCATGTATTCTACAATGTCCAGTTCTTATCTAATCTTACCTAATATGACATTTGGAACAATTAAGTGCTCACTACTTGTTCTTTTATAGCATTTTTATTTTGAGAAAAAGTGTAATTATAAAAAAATAATAAAATGATAAGACAAACATTTGTATTTTCAATACCCAGAGAAGATGATTGTTAACATTTTGTGTATATTCTTTTTTTAAAGATTTTATTTCTTTATTTTTAGAGGGTAAGGGAAGGAGAAAGGTAGAGAAATGTCAATGTATGGTTGCCTCTCATGTGTCCCCTGCTGAAAACTGGCCTGCAACCCAGGCATGTGCCCTGACTGGGAATTGAATTGTGATCCTTTGGTTCACCGGTCTGAGCTCAATCCACTGAGCTACACCAGCCAGGGCTGTGTATAGTCTTTAAAAATACATTATTAATATCATAGCACATGTCATTAAAAAATTTATGAGTTAATTTGAGCCAAAATGATGACATATGCTGGGGAGCAAGAATTCAAATGTTACTCCCCCTTTAAACATTTTTTTATAAGCATTTCATGTATCTTAAAATTGCTTTTATTTATGCAACCTTTTGATCTGATATATGAGTACATATAATAGAGTGAGTATGTATATAAAGAAATATATTTTATTCCTTTTAACTGTGTGGTATTCTATAGCATAAAAACATTATAATTTTTTAAATCCCTCTTTTGATGGGCATTTAGCTTACTTCCAGTATTTTGATACCAAATATAATGTGTATAATGAATGTCCTTATACACACACATCTCCTGTGTACATGTGTAAATTTTTCCCTAGGGTAAATAAATAGGAGGGCAATGAATTTTGTACTATGTACATTTCCTCTTGTTTAAAATATTTAGTTATTGATTTGAGAGAAAGAGAGAAACATCAATTTGTTGTTCCACTGATTTATACATTCATTGGATTTGCTGGTTGATTCTTGTATGTGCTCTGACTAGGGATTGAACCCACAACCTTGGTACATCAGTACCATGCTCTAACCAACTGAGCTACCCAGCCAGGGACAGTGTATTTTCAACTTTAGTAGTTCTTACCAAACAGCTCCACAAAACACCTATACCAATATGCATTCTTATTATTACTGAATGAAGATATCACTTCTCCATATTTACCCAATACTTGATATTGTTAGAATTTATAATTGTTTTCTAATATAATGAATATAATATATCATCTAATTATTTTAATTTGCATCTTCCTGATTATTCGTGATATATATGCTTTCATGTTTATTGTGTATTGGAGTTTCCTCATCTATGAATGGCTTTTTCATATCCTTTTCCCTTATTTAGTAGGAAAAAGTTGTCTACTTCTTATTAATTTGCAAAATTTTTAATAATGATCATTTTGTTATCTAGATAGCACATATCATTTCCCAGTTTATTTCTTATTTTTAATTAAATTTTGGTGAGTTTAATCATATTAATGTTTTAATTTTGAGGTAGTCAAATGTATTAATCACTTTCTGTATGGTTTGTGCTTGTTTGGAGTATTATTTAGGAAATATTATCTGTACTGAGGTAAAAAGGTATGCTTCTAAAACTTTAAAAAGCTTTCTTTTCTAATCCTCACCTGAGGATACTCTTTCATTGCTTTTTAGAGAGAGAAAGGGAGAGAGAGAAACACTGATGTGAGAAAGAAACATCAATTGTTTATCTCCTGCACACACCTGGACCAGGGATCACATGTGCCAGGACTGGGAATAGAACCCACAAGCCAGGCTTGTGACCCCACCAGGAAATGAACCTGCAACCCTTCTGTTAAGGGATGACACTCCAACCAACTGAGCCACACCAGCTAGAGCTAAAACGTTTGGAATTTTGTTTTCTTTATCAAGGTCTCTGATCAGATAGAATTTATTTTTCTCATTAAGAAGTTGATATCTAATTGTATGTTTTTCTAAATATGGAAAACCAATTGTTCCAATATCATTTACTGAATAATCCATGTCACTGATTTTTATTGCTACCTATGTCATACACTAAATTCCCACAGTCTCCTGGGTCTGACACCAGGTTCAATATTCTGTTATTACTAATTTATTTTTAAAATCAGATAAATTCTCCCAACTTGTTCTTTTTTTACCTGTTTTTTTTTGGGGGGGTTGGGGGAGTTCTTTTCATAATTGTTTTTGCTATATTTGGACCATTATTTTCCACATAACTTTAAAAAGCTAGTACTTTAAAAAATGCACAAATAATATGGGTATGGTTTTATGAATTACCATAATATAAACACAATCAGGAGCTGCTTCTTAAAGAAGAAGAGTTAACTTTAGTAGAGGGCATGATTTTGTTCCAAAATTTGATGGATCAATACTATGATTCTATTATAGCATTTCAATTTGCCCCATACATTCCAAATATTGTAGGATCTTTTAGGTGATAAAGCAAGGAAAAAAGAAGACTTTTTGTACTGCAGCTTACAAAGCCTTTTCTTGCTCTGAGATCCACTCTGGATGCTAATGGGTCAGTTAATGCATGAAAGCAGCACATGTGAGTAAATGTTGTTCCTATAATATAAAAAGGTACAATATGCATAGCACTCTTTCTTACCGGTTGGTGGCACAACATTAGAGCAGTTTGCCTCATACTTGAGAGAGATATCTTGTCATGCCTCAGACTACTTCACTGCTAAAATCTGCCAAGATAGTAAACCCTGAATTTTTATGTTTTTTATGTTTCACCTTCTAACGCACATGTGTATTACCAAGGCATCTAATGCTTCTTCGAGCTTACCAGGTCCAATCACCATGATGGAAATCATCAAAGTGGTGGGCTAGCATGATGTTCTGTGATATGTCAACATAATCAAGATCTCTGCAGCCCTGGCCAGGTAGCTCAGTTGGTTAGAGCTTCAACCAAGGTTGTCGGTTTCATCCCGTCATGGCACATGAAAGAATCAACCAATGAATGCATAAATCAGTGGAAAAACAAATTGATGTTTCTGTCTCTTTCTCCCTTTCTCACTCTAAAAATCAATCTTTTTAAAAAAAATGTTCTCTTGACACTAGATTATGATAGAAAGAAAGAGAATTGCCAGAGCCAATAAATCTAAGCAATGAAGAAATAGCAAAACTTTCAGATGCACAGTTCAAAACACTGGTGATCAGGATGCTCACAGAACTGGTTGATTTTAGTCACAAATTAGAGGAACATATGAAGGCTAAACTAATTGAAATGAATGGAAATGCACAGGAAACCAATAGTAATGGAAAGGAAACTGGGACTCAAATCAAAGGAGTGGACCAGAAAGAGGAAAAAAATGACCAAACAGAAAAGAATGTAGAAACAAGAATTCAAAAAAATGAGAGGCTTAGGAACCTCCAAGACATCTTTAAACGTTCCAACATGAGAATTATAGGGGTTCCAGAAGGGGAAGAGGAACAGCCACGAGTGGAAAACTTATTTGAACAAATAATAAAGGAGAATTTCCCCAATCTGGCAAAGGAAATAGACTTCCAAGAAATCCAGGAAGCTCAGAGAGTCCCAAAGAAGTTGGACCCAAGAAGGAACACACTAAGGCACATCATAATTACATTAGCTAAGATTAAAATGAAGGAGAGAATCCTAGAAGCAGCAAGAGCTAAGGGGACAGTCACCTACAAAGGAGTTCCCATCAGACTGTCAGCGGATTTCTCAAAAGACACCTTACAGGCAAGAAGGGGCTGGAAAGAAGTATTCCATGTCATGAAATCCAAAGACCTACATCCAAGATTGATCTATCCAGCAAAGCTTTCATTTAGAATGAAAGGACAGATAAGGTGCTTCTCAGATAAGATCAAATTCAAGGAGTTCATCATCACCAAGCCCTTATTATATGAAATGTTAAAGGGACTTACCTAAGAAAAAGAAGATAAAAAATATGAACAGTGAAAGGACAGCAAACTCACAGTTATTAACAACTACACCTAAAACAAAAGCAAACTAAGAGGATAGCTAGATCAGGAGCAGAACCATAGAAATGAAGATCACATGGAGGGTTAGCAACAGGGGAGTGGGAGGAGGAGAAGGGTGGAGAAGGTACAGAAAATCAGTAGCATAGATGGTAGGTAGAAAATAGATAGGGGGGAGGGCAAGAATAGTAGGGAAATATAGAATCTAAAGAACTTGAAACACGTGGTCATAAACTAAAGGGGGACCGTGGGGGAGGGGTGTGCAGGGTGGAGGGGAATGAAGGGGGGAATAGAACAACTGTAATGGCATAATCAATAAAATATATTTTAAAAAATGTTTTCTCGATACTAGATTATGATAGAAAGAAAGAGAATTGCCTTGGCACTATGGCAAGGCAGTGAAAGTATACTGCTGTTCATGACAGGTGAAATTTAAACTTCTGTTGGTTCTTATAAACTGTTCTAGAGAAAATAGTACTTGACAGACTAATAGGAGTAAATGAAAGGGGTGTGTCAGTTTGGTCCAATAAAGATTCCACATCTTGGATAGCAGCTGCAGATAGAGTCATAGTAATCTACAAAAAATTCTGTTCTTTGGAAGATAGTTAGAGGAAAATTCCAGTTAACCATGTTTTGTTTTGAACCTTTCTCTAGGCTGATGTGACTACAAGTATATAAGCATATATCTATGTGGTTTTTGTCATTGTTTGTTTTACAAAAACAGGATTGTATTGCACACATTTTTCTGTATTTTACTTTTTAACTCAATAATAATGTACAAAATTTCCTCCAAGTCAACTGGTGTAGTCTT